AACCAATGCTCACCCTTCTTTCCAGAGGGACGACCTGGAAGCCTGAAGACTGATAAGGTGTACTGACTTCTTTCGATAACATTTACAGGATTCCTTATGATTCTTGGAGTTAACATCAAGTTCTTGAAATAGTGACTGCAAAAATGTGAAGTTTCTCGATGCAAGTAATATGCACATATTGATCCTTCAACTCTAGCTTTATTTTTCATTGATCGCTTTGAATCACCCATGAACCTTTCAAACGGATACATCCACCTATATTGAACAGGTCCTCCTAGATAAGCCTCATATGCAAGATGCACAGGTAGATGTTCCATGGAGTCAAAAAAACCAGGAGGAAATACTTGTTCCAACTTACAGAGAATGACTGGAATATTTTGGTCCAACTTAATGATGTCATCCACTCTTAAAGCTGAAGCACAAATATCTCTAAAAAATTGACTAATTTCAGTGAGTGGATTAAGCACATGTTTGGGTAGAGAACCGAACGCAATTGGTAGCAATTGTTCCATAAAAACATGACAATCATGACTTTTCATACCATGCAACTTCCCAGTGTTAGCATCAGCACACCTTGATAAATTTGAAGAATACCCGTCGGGCATTCTCAAACCTTTTAGCCATCCACAAACCGCTTTAGCTTCTTGGGGGGTCAGACTGAAACAAGCTTTGGGTTTAAATAATTTTCCATTTGGTTGAGGCTTCAATTCCAACTCTTTACGATTACACCAAATTTCCATGTCTTGTCTAGCCTTCACATTATCTTTTGTTCTGTCTTTAACATCCATCACTGTGTTAAATACGTTATCAAAAAAATTCTTCTCAATATGCATAACATCAAGATTATGGCGCAACAAATTATCTTTCCAATACGGGAGGTCCCAAAATATACTTCTTTTTGTCCAATTATGTGTGACCCCATATCCTTCAATTCTACATGATTTGCCAGTATCTGTAAACTTTGGAAGTTCACAAACTTGGTTCCATATAGCACCCGGTGCCAATCGAGGCGGAGGCAGATCCGTTACCCGTTCGTCCTTTTTGAAATTTGTCTTGTTTTTTCTAAAGGGATGATTTGATGGTAGGAATCTGCGGTGACAGTCAAACCACGAGCTTTTCCCCCCTTTTTCCAATGTAAACGCCTTAGTGCATTCCATGCAATGCGGACAACCCATTATGCCATGCGTACCCCAACCAGACAACATGCCATATGCTGGAAAGTCGTTAATGGTCCACATCAAGGCAGCTCGCATAGAAAAGTTTTGTTTACGGGATATATCATAAGTTCATTCTCCATTATTCCACAACCTCTTCAAATCATCAATTAAAGGTTGTAAGTACACATCAATTCCGGTTTTTGGACTCGACGGTCCTGGAATGACGCATGTCAAAAACATGTATGGTTTTGTCATGCACATCTCAGGAGGGAGATTGTAAGGGGTTACAATAACTGGCTAACAAGAATACGCACTTCCGGACGCTTGGACATATGGAGCAAAACCATCAGAGCATAATCCAAGCCTGACATTTCTAGGTTCAGCGGCAAAATCAGGATGTACCTCATCAAAGTGCTTCCATGCATGGTCGTCAGATGGGTGTCGCATATTGCCTGGGCTTGTTTTGTTTGTATGATGCCATGTCATTTGACTTGCACTGTGCATTGAAGAAAACATTCTTTTTAACCTTGGTATTATCGGAAGATAAAACATGGACTTTACTGCTACCCGTTTTTGGTTACTGTTAATGGCTCTATTGCGAACTTTATATCTTGGACTATGACAAAACTTACATTCCTCTGACGATCCATCTTGAGTACCAAACTCGTTGTCATAAAACAATATACAACCATTAATGCAACAATCAATCTTTCTTACTCTTAAACCCAACTTCGACACCAACTTCTTTGCATCATAGAAACTCGCAGGCAAGTTGTCTTTCGTTGCAGTTGAGTCCAACATCATTTTTGCGAAGTGCTCCAAACACTGATCAGGAACATTCCAATTTGACTTGGCGGCCAATAATCTAACACACATTGATAGCTTTGAGTCTGACGACCCCTCAAACAACGGCGTATTCATCTCATTCAACAACTGATAAAATCTCTGCGCTTCCTCATTCGGCAACTCTTCCCCGTCAAAGTCTTCAGGTTGATCATAGGTCACGCTAACACCAAAAGCATCACCAACCATGTCACCTATCAGATTAAAATTTTCTTCAAATTCCATAGGTGGTTGCATAACCGGTTGACTACTTGAAGCATCTGTGTTGCTAGTCTCTGGTACATTACTCGGCAATGTTTCACCATGATACGTCCAAACCCAATAATTTTCAATGAAACATTTCCTATGCAAATGACGTGTTATTTCCTCTGGGTCACTAATTATATATCTACATCCACATTTAAGACAAGGACACCTAACTCCTCCTTCACTTCGACAACGTTCCTGGTCAAACGTCCACGCGATAAAACCATTAACTCCGTCTATAAAATTGGGTTTAAGTGCGCGTCTTCCTGGATATAGTCTATCGTACATCCAACTACGATAATACATATAATATTCCATTTACTGCAAATTTATATAATCAAAACCTATTTAATTAGAAATATTAATTAATCAACTTAATAATAATCCTAAACATATACAATTAAAGATAAATATATGCTTTCAAAAATATTTATAAACTCCTAAAAATATTTAGTTATTTTTAAACACTTAAAATTTAATTTAAACACCTAAATTTTATAAACTCCTAAAAATTTAAAAACTTATTAAACTCCTAAAAATTTAATTTAAACACTTAAAATTTATAAATTCCTAAAAATATTTATTTATTTTTAAACACTTAAAATTTAATTTAAACACCTAAATTTTATAAACTCCTAAAAATTTAAAAACTTATTAAACTCCTAAAAATTTAATTTAAACACTAAAAATTTATAAACTCCTAAAAATATAAAAGCTTAAACTCCTAAAATAATTAAACTCATTCATCACAAATTAATAATTAATAATTATTATAAACTAAATAATTAAACCTAACATTTAACTCAAATACAGAAAATATATATATATATATATATATATATATATATATATATATATATATATATATATATATATATATATATATATATATATATATATATATATATATATATATATATATATATATATATATATATATATAACCCAAATTCAACAATTTTAACCCAATATTCATGAAATTCAGAAAATATATATAACCTATAAATTAATCAAATTCAGAAAATATACTAATTTCAAAAAAAAAATTCAAGACATACATTTTATCTTGTAACTCCTTCAATCTTCTTGTCCCTTTGTGCAATCTATACTTCTATATTCTCCTTCTCTATTCAAAGAAAAATTGAAAAAAAATTATACTCAAATAACACATCAAAAGCTATTAACAAATTATAAATAACATGAAATTGAAATTACATTACAACCAATGTATGAAGATGGTAGGAATTTAAGTGTGGAGAAGAAAATGGGTATGGAGAGGAGTATGGAAGGTTGAAGAAGAAGAAAATGAAACAGAAACGTTACTGTGTGCGTTGTGAAACGTTTTGATAAATTAGATAAACCAAGTAGCGACGTGAAAATCACGCTGCAACGTTGCCACGTGATTTTCACGTCGCAACAAACTTACAACTGTTTTCTCTTCCTTCAAAACCTGAGCACGCCAGTGTTGGAAGTTGTGATTTATTTAATTTTTATGGTATTTTAATTAGCGACGTGAATCTCACGTCGCAACTTTTTTTAACACAAAAAAGTAACTGACACACTTAATGTTTCTGTATTATATTATTAAAACACGTTGCCACGTGATTTTCACGTCGCAAGTGACTTTATTTAGCCACATGAAAATCACGTGGTTGGGTAAGCATTTTCTTGTAGTGTCAATGCATCAGCCTCTTCTTTCTTCAGATGTATCTTTTTGTTTTAGGCTCTGTTGTTTCGGTCTGGTGCCGGGAGTTTATAGCATTAGCGGGTTTGGCTTTTTGTTGTTCTTCAGCAGCAGCCATATTGGATATTTTTTCTGTTCTTATTTGTTTTGGGGTTGGACTTGGATTCACCATGGGATTTCTCTTGTTTCATCTCATTTGTTTTATTTTCTATTTGGGGATCTAGCTGCTGTCCAGCTTTCAAGACATAGTATCCAGGGAGTTATTTATCGTAGAGGTGGATCTAGCTGCTGCCTAGCTTTCGTATCAGAGGGCTTTTCCTTCTGCTTTCCTGTTTTTGAGCTGCAGTTGTGTTATCGTGGAGTTTTCAGAGTTCAGGTTTGCTTTGGGGGTGCTGTTTTTCAAGGGCTCTACTTGCAGGGCAGCAAGTGGTTAGCTTCTCGTCCGGTTGCTTGCATCTGCTGCATGCTCTGGAGGCTCGTTCCAATGTCGTTACCAACAGACACACGTATGTAGATAAATCGAATAATAGTCAAACCGATATAATGATATTTCCGTGCAACACCCCGTTTTTAATATACACACGTTGAGTTTTACTTTAGGTGCAGACACTACACGTTTTCAAAATGTTTAAAGATAGACTTTGAACGCAAATTGTCAACATGAGCCACAATGACAGACAAAAATAAAATTTGACATTTGTAATTAATTTTTATTCTAATAATAATAATAATATAAATTATTATATATTTATAAATCACACGCTGCCTTTTCGGACCATTTTGTTGGCTATAGTTTGGGACCACGCATAACAAAATTCCAAAACTTGAACAAATCATAATATCTATTATATCTTTGGGACTTTGGTCATCATTCCTATCCACCATAACACACCCACATCCACGTTGATTCAAACAAACTAGTACTTCATATTCCAACACTGCAAACAAACTATCAACACTTTTCCAGATATTCCTCCGCTATATATATATATATATAATATATATAGCCTATAACACAGTACAACTTATCATCACTTTTCTTTTTTTCATTGTAACAACTTATTCAGAAAATGATTCAAGTTCCTGTAACACACAAAATTAACCATCTCTTCAATTTTCTTCATCATCAATCTTCTTCCATTCTTCTAAATCTATGCAAATTATGTGTTCTTTTTCTCGCTCTTCTCGTCACCTTTCACACCATTCTCATCCTCAAACTCCGCAGAAAAACTCCTTCTATCTCGCCTCTCATTGTTGAGTATGATGATTACTCTGAAGACGAAGACGATGAAACATGTTCGATATCGTCCACGTCATCGGATTCTGAGGACGACGAAGAAGATATTGAAGAAGAAAATAGAACCGGTGAGTATTTCCGGTTTAGAGGCGATGACGGTGAAGGTGGATTTCTAAGTAGTTGTCGTAGCATCGGTGATATGTTCTCGCTTTCGGAAATTACGAATAGTAAAAGCGTTGTGAAGCTTTGGGATACCATAGGGTTAGGGTTAGGGTTAGACGATTCTGATTCATCATACTACGGAAGTATCGTTGAGGCTTACGGCACTGATGAGAAGTTGAGAGCACCGTCGGAGGTTTGGGACACGAGGGTTCGGCGTAGGATACCGACGATGATCGCAGAGTGGACGCCGGGTATCGGAAAGACCGTTGAAAATGTTTCCGGGGGTGTGCAGAAGGTTTACGTGAGAGATAACGGACGTTATGAGTTGACGGTTGGTGATATGAGGAAAATGATGTCGCCGTTAGAAAATGTAACGGAATCACAACTAGATTTGTGGTGGCCGAATTCTTACATGCTTAAAATTTAATCACCCGGGAGGAAGGATGGAAATGTGTAAAGATCCGGAATTTAAACTGTAATTGTGAATATTGGAATTATAGGGTTATAATGATATTTTTAATTTAATTTTAAGATTTAATTAAAATGCACAAGTAATATAATGACTATTTTGATTCTCGTATTTTGATTTACTCACGAAATTGATCTTTCTATTTTTAAATTAAATAAAATTGGGTAAAAAATTTAACCGTAAATTACATACGATATAATATAGAATTTTACTCACTATGCCAAAATTGACTTTAAACAGCGCCACATAGACAGCGCTTATGCCCTAAGCGCTGCTATAGGTTTTCAGTAAAAAAAAAATTTAAAAATTAGAATAAGTGCTGCTAAAGGTATACTATAGACAACGCTTATTATAAGCGCTGCTATAGGCCTTACCATAGATAGCGCTTTCTATCCCTAAGCGCTGCTATAGGTTTTCAGTAAAAATAAAATTAAAAAAATTAGAATAAGCGCTGCTAAAGGTTATACTTTAGACAGCGCTTACTAAAAGTGCTGCTAAAGGTGTTATTCTAGGAAGCATTGCTAAAGCCTAAAGCGCTGCTAAAGGGTATACCTTAGACAGCGCTTTCCAGAAGCGCTGCTAAAGGCATTACTCTAAAAGCGTTGCTAAAGGTAATACCTTTAGCAGCACTTCTTGAAAGCGCTGTCTAAGATAATTAAATAATGTCTAAATCCCTAAATTGGTTATCAGATTTCCAGAAATCCCACATTGTACAAACGAAACCCCACACCCAGAAAACGCTCCTGTTCATCTTCTTCTTCAACTCGTCTCCTCCCTCCTCACCGTCCAACCGTGGTTCATGCCAGAAAGCTTCTGATTTGTTGTCTCGTTACAGAGAAACTGATTTGCATTTTTTAGACACTTATGAGTTGTTATCTTTCTATAGTATCTCAGTTTGTTTGTTGCCTTAAGAAGAAAATGCACTATTTCATTCATACACTCTTTAGTATCTCAGTTTCTTTGTATATTTACGACTTTTTAATGGTTAATTATTTTTAGCTTTGCAAACACGAGATTCTCCGGTTATACGAGGGCAAGGGCCAGAGGCACGTGAGGGTCATAGTGCGGCTGTTGTTGGGAAACAGCTTTACATTTTTGGTGGTTGTGGAAAATCCACTGATAATAACAATGAGGTTTACTACAATGATCTTTACATACTGAATACAGGTAACGTTTGCTCTTCATACTGCGGTACTGACTGTTATTTATTGATCGAGTTAGTTAGTTCATTACACAATAAATCCCCTTTGACATTTAAATGAGATCTTATGTAAGTGATACAAAGTATGGTAAATTGAATGGGAACGTTTGGATTCGAGAATTTGTCTTTTGCTTTTGATTATAGTATCTGATATGGATTATTCTAATGGTTCAGTTTTACTGTTTCACCCGCAGAGACACTTGTTTGGATGCGCCCTACAACATCAGGCACACCACCATCTCCTCGTGATAGCCACACTTGCTCATCTTCTTCTCGAACTCGTCTCCTCCCCGTCCAACCGTGGTTCATGCTAGAAAGCTTCTGATTTGTTGTCTCGTTACAGAGAAACTGATTCAAAAACAGTGTGAGCCTTTACCTAGAAGAAGAAGTTTCACAAAATCGGTTTCATCTAAGGTAAAATTTCTTCATCCTTTTCTGGTTTCACTATGGAAGCCTGTTAGTAATAAAACAGTGAATTGGAATGGTTTTAACTGCAAGATTTTCGAGTGTTTGAATGGTAGGAAACTGAATAGAGATTGTGTTCATTGCTTTGATTTGGTTAATGGATATGAGAATCAACGATTTTTTAAGTCTAAGAGTAAGAATGATTTTCTTGTTGATGATGTTTTGCAATTAGGAAATGGTGGGATTAGAATAGGTTTTGATATTGGAATTGGTTCGGGGTCTTTTGCGGCGGTTATGTCTGAGAGGAATGTTACTGTGATTACTAGTACTCTTAATGTTAATGGTCCTTTCAATGAGTTTATCGCGGAGAGAGGACTTTTTCCGGTTTACTTGAGTTTGGATCATAGGTTTCCGTTTGTTCAATCTAGTATTCAACTTAGTAATAGTAAAAAATAACACAAATCATGAATCTTCGAATGAGTTCACAACTAAGCTAATGTATCTAAAATTGTAACGTTGACGATCATTGATTGAATATGTTATAGGACCACAACAGTAACATGAACTAGGCCTCTAAGGTTGGACCACATTCGTGGTTATGCTCCTTTCACTCACACGTTATAATCCTCATTTCTAGAATTGTTCTAATCACATGTTTGATTTTTGTTGACAACACACACTCTTTAAATTCATTGTACTCCCACCACATTGCTTATAATCCAAGTTAGTAATAATCAACACAAGAGGTTCACGTAACAATGACATATTCACTTGAATAATAAAATCCGTGTATACTTTGTGTTTTGGCAGAAACGCATTATACCGTTTTGTGCCCTAATTAGTGTTTTTGTTTAACTTAGATAATAGTTAAAACCATGGATAAAAAATGGATGTGTGTCGATCGATTGTCAAAAGAGTACGAGAATGGGGTATTAGAGTTCGTTAAGTTTGCTGTTGAACACGCTGAAGACCCAAATAGAATGAAATGTCCTTGCTTGGGTTGTTGTTATGTGGGTCGGGTTGACGCAGATGGATTAAAATCGCATTTACTAATGCGCGGAATTGATCGAAGTTATACGTGTTGGATATTTCATGGTGAGAAAAGCATCGAGAATGTTGAATCGGGGGTGAAAAGTAATGCGACCTATGTTTTGTACGACAATGCCACGGATACATATGATTGTGATCGAGTCGAAGAGATTGCAGAAGCACTTGAAGAAGATCTTCAAGATTGTCCCAAAATGTTTGAGAGGTTGGTAAGCGATGCCGAGAAACCGTTGTATAAAGATTTCCCGAAATTCACAAGATTGTCTGTGGTATTAAAATTGTACAACTTAAAGGCGCGCAATGGATGGTCGGATAAAAGTTTCACACAGTTATTAGCCCTTTTGAGAGATATGCTTCCTGAGGATAATGTTCTTCCTAATCGAACCTACGAGGCCAAAAAAATGTTGTGCTCTATTGGCATGAGCTATGATAAGATACATGCATGTCTAAATGATTGTATTTTGTTTCGAAACGAATATGCATCGTTGAATGAGTGCCCAAAGTGCAGTTTATCTCGATATAAGAAAAAATTATCTCCAGCGAAAGTCTTATGGTATTTTCCTATTATTCTGAGATTTAGACGCATGTTTCATAGTGAAACCGATGCTAGACACTTGACTTGGCATGCAGATGAAAGAATTATTGATGGAAAGTTTCGATATCCGGCAGATGCACCACAGTGGAAGAAAATTGATAATGATTATCCTGATTTTGGAGGAGAAACAAGAAACCTTCGCTTGGCATTATCTACGGATGGAATGAACCCGCATGGTCTTCAAAGTATCTCACATTCTACATGGCCTGTGATTCTTATGATTTATAACCTACCTCCATGGCTATGTATGAAACGCAAGTACATGATGTTATCTATGTTAATTTCTGGGCCTAAACAACCAGGGAATGACATAGATGTATACTTGAAACCTTTAATCGAAGATTTGAAGATTTTGTGGGAGAACGGTGTGGAGGTTTATGATGGATATAGGAAAGAAAGTTTCAATTTGAGGGTGATGTTGTTTGGCACAATTAATGATTTTCCAGCATATGGAAATCTATTCGGGTATAGCATTAAAGGTGAAAAAGCGTGTCCTGTCTGTGAAGATGGAACCCATACGACACGATTGAAACTTTGTCAGAAGAATGTCTTTCTCGGTCATCGTAGATTCTTAAATTCAAAACATCAATATCGTGGATGGAGAAAAGCGTTCAATGGAAATACCGAACAACGTAGAGCTCCACCTGAATTGACAGGTGATCAAATTTGTGAAAAGGTGAAAGATGTGAGTATTCAGTTTGGCAAGCCTTTTGCACATAAAGTTGTCACAGGTGGGTGGAAGAAGAGGTCAATTTTTTTTGAATTTCCATATTGGAAATCTTTGTACGCAAGACATTTTCTTGATGTTATGCATATTGAAAAAAATGTATTTGAAAGTGTTATTGGTACGTTACTTAATATAAAAGGAAAGTCTAAGGATGGTGTGATACGGTGGGACAACTGACTTGAGGTTTTGTGTTTGTATTCGCAAATGTTCGGTTTAGCAAGAGTCGCCACCGACTTTTTATTTATCCTAAGGAAAGGTCAAAAAGCACAGGAAAGACCTTTGAGATGTTTTCTTGGGTTCGGGGAGTAGATTATAGAAAGGGAAGGTATTAGAACCCTTTCTATCCATGGTTATCCATGGGCTCTTAGTTACTTGCTTAGATCACTTGCCTTTGCTTTTCAATTGTTTGAAATGGTGCTTTGTGTGTGTGGTTTTGAAAATGTTTTGAAAAAAGATGCCTTGTCTAGGCAACCATTGTAACAATTCTTTACTCGAATGTTTTACAAAGGTGTTTGTCTTTTTTGAAAAGATGTTTCAATGTTTTTTTGAAAGTTTGTTTTGAAGTTGTGTTGTGATGTGTGTTTTGAAAAATGGCAAGGATTGTTTTGCAAGATTGATCAAGTAACCAAGAGCTATCTACCCTAAATTTCTCAAAGATCTTTCTCATGTTTTAACCCTTTTAACAGTGTTGTTTCACCATTGTATTTGGTGAACAACCTTGTGTTAGGATGTTAACGGGACGGGCGCGGGTCATCGTATAGACCATGAATGCAATAGTGTCAAGTATTTTGGCAATTTTCTTGAGGGACTATGATCATTTTGTTTAGGCAACAAGATAGCGTCATCGAGGGACTATGATCATTGTGTTTATTTTTTTTGTTTTGCCAAAGTACTTGACATGCAAACATGGCCCATTTTTGAAGGCAACAAATGGAATAACCCTAGGGGTGCAAGTGTGCATTGTGTTTGTTTTTCATACATGT